ATCTAGTTTTGTTCTGAAAGAGTTGTACTATTACACACAAGTGATATTTAACCAAAATTGTTATTAAAAAACACCCAAAAATGGCGTTGAAAACGATGGTCGTTTTTCGCTTATAAACAAATGAAGTAACTTTGACGCTAATAACTATATCGTTTTACTGATTTGATATTTCGATAGTTGGTACTTTTACGCGTGTTTTAAAAAAAATTCGTTATCCTACGTTACGTACAAGCCGAGATAATTTTTTTTTTTTTGAAAATTCGCAGCTTTTTTCATTATTAATATTAAGATCTGAAACTGTGAGGATATGGAGTAGAAGAGTTAAACTTTCATCAGGAAAAGTTTCGAAGAAATTCAGTATAGTATAGCATTATTTACAGAGTGTTAAAGAAAGGTTTNGTATGTCAAGTACATAAAGACCGGTGGTGAGGGTAAGCGGGCCGCAGCCGCTGCGCTCGGTGGTGACTCGCGCGCGTAGCGTCATTTTCACTTCAAATTCATAAAAATGGCATTATCTCGGTTAATATTGATCGTATTGAGACGTTTTTTTTTAATTTGGGGTAGCTCGACGAGCTCTTTACGATTCTGTCTTCAGAAAATCTATTAACGTTAACCTACCTGCTCAAATCTTGGCAATCTTTTTTTATATATTGTTTATTAATAATTTCTGATGATTTATTTATGCAGTACTGTACACATGCATTATTGTTAGAACAATTTCTTGATGTTACTGCAAAATAATAGTACTACTTCCATTTTATCGATGCATACAGTTTGCAAAAACCAATGGTAGTAGGAAAAATGCATTATATGTATTTAGTTATGATGATTATGAATATTAAAATTATTATTACAGTAGTAATTGCAGTTTAGTATTGACCGATGCATTTAAATTATAAAATAACTCTAGCTGTGTTTTTAAGTTCTGTTCTTAAACTCTTCATAATTAAAAGTATATTTATAGTATTCTGGAAAACAGAGTATGTATAAAATTTGGAGCTCCAGAGAGAGAGAGAGAGAGAGAGAGAGAGAGAGAGAGAGAGAGAGAGAGAGAGAGAAAGCATCATTTATTATAGCGCTCCGGGACAAGTCCCCTTAAGCGCACCAACAGTATATGTACAAAGAGTATGTAAATATATACAACAAAATATAAAAAGAAATAACAATAAGATATAATAAAAATAAATAACAATAAACAAATGAAATAAAGAGAAAAGAAAAATAAAAATTTATCTGCACAAATTAGCATTGATTATCCAACAAGTAAGCATGAAGTTGCGACTTAAATTCACCTAGAGACTCAGCGTCACGAATGTAAGGAGGCAGATTATTCCAGTTAGAGGATGCAGTACATGTAAAAGAGCGCTTATAAGTCTCTGTACGACACTGCGGTACAGCAAGTAAATTGGAGGCAGCTCGTGTTGACCTACTAGAAGTCGCACTCCGAAAATGAAAATTATCATATAAGACACTGGGGCATTCAGTCGATAAAATACTATGTGTGAGACATCCAACAAAGTAAGCCCTCCTGTTATCAGTCTTCAGCCACCCAAGAGTCTTGTAATATGGTGTTATGTGTACATCTCTTCTTACACCAAAAATGAATCTGACACACGCATTAATGGCCCTTTGCAGTCTAATGTTTAGAGTTGTTGGCATGTCCGTGAACGCACAACAGCAATAGTCCACATGCGGAAAAACAAGGCTCATTATCAGATTCTGCTTCAGCGTTTGTGGTAATAGATTCTTACATAACTTCAGCTGATACAGCGTTTTCCTGATCTTTTTGGTTGTGTTGACGGTGTGCTCATTCCATGAGAGCGAGTTGGCAATTGTAACCCCCAGATATTTCACTTGAGTGGTGTACTGAACGACAGCACCACTCACTTCAACACGAGGCAGGGTGCTGAGATTTATTGCGTTTATGTGTCGGCTTGATCCCAAAATGATCGCCTGTGTCTTTTCGCAATTCAGAATCAACTTGTTCCTAGATGCCCACGCCACAATTCCGCAGATATCTGCGTTGACTCTTGCAATGTCTTCATGTAGATCTCGAGGCAGACAATGAAGATAGATTAATAAATCATCTGCATAGAAGCTGTACTTACAGTTAGAGAGAACATCCCGAAAATCCGAAATGTACAGAGTAAAAAGCAGCGGTCCAAGAACGGAGCCCTGCGGTACTCCAACGTTGACAAAGGCAAATGAAGAAGTAGAGCGGTCAACAGGATCTCTTGTTGCTTGTTGCCTTCCATTCAGATACGATTCTATCCAACGAAGCGCCAAGTTGGAGAACTTTTTAGCTTTTAGCTTTCTCAAAAGAATAGTGTGATCAACTCTGTCAAAGGCCTTAGACAGATCGAAGAGAACAGAGATAGTGACCATTCTTCTATCCGCTGCTAGTCTTACATCATCAAGTATTCTTATGAGACCTGTTTGAGTTGAATGGTTTCTCCTATATGCAGATTGATAACGGTCGAATAAATTGCTCTCCTCCAAATAATTTTGTATTTGATCACATACAACTCGTTCGAAGACCTTGGACATGACTGGAAGAATTGCAATCGGCCTGTAATGTTGCAAAGCTGTTGGATTTTTAATTTTTGGTATTGGACAGATAATGGCCTTCTTCCACGCACCCGGAAAGACACCGTGAGACAATGAATCATTGAAAATATGCTCCAATACTGGCAAAATGTATTGTAGGACTAGGCAAATTATTTTCAACGAAATACCATCATATCCTGTCGCATTAGTTTTTATTTTGTAGATGACCTTCTGTATTGAGTTTGGTGTAATATGTTTCCAATAAAATTCACTATCGTCAAAGTCCGCGAGAGATAGATTTACATTTTCAGATGATGTATTCCTGCCCAGATCTCCAGTGTGTGTAAAGTAGTCATTCAACTCTTCCACTGTATACGCCAGACACCTGCTAGCGTTCTTAACCTTTATGAGCCCAAGATGTTTAAGATGACTCCAGATCGTATTAGAGTCTTTTGCCGTATTAAATATGCTCAGATAATAGTTGTTCTTGGCAGTTCGAACTAAGTTCTGAACATTATTTCTTAGTCTTTTGTAGCCAGCATATTGATCAACGTTCCGCGTTCTCCGCCATCTTCTTCGAGCTCTATCTCTGTTCTTCATTGCAGTTTTGATATCAGCTGTCAGCCAGGGAGCAGGGAAATTCTTGAAGATCCTACGTTGTATAGGAGCGTGATCGTCCAAGCATTGTAAAACATAATTATTTAACATATCAACTTTTTCGTCCACAGATGTAGAGTTTATAAGATGCTCCCAGTCCTTAGCTCGTAGATCCGAAAGAAAGTCAGATTCTTCGAAGTTTCTGAAGTCTCGACAAAAGATTTCTCTACAACCTCCACGTTCTACTCTGATTTTGTAGTGTATATAGATCAAGTCATGTGCTGATAGAAAAGGCACACCTTGCTGCCCAAATCTCGAAATCTTTTCCTGCTCGTCTACGATACATAGATCCAGAAAAGAGCTTGAATTCCTTAGATGATGCGTATTTTGATAAGGGATTAAATACTGACCAGATGACTCTATAAACAATAGTAACTGATTACTATCGTAGCTGACGACAGACATGTCGGAATTGAAATCACCAAAAATGACTGAGTGTCTATAGTTAGCTTGCAAATCCAGGAAAATATTTTCAAATTCATTAAGAAAACCACAGTTAGGTGGTCTATAAACTGTAGCCAACAGAAGCTTGGCCGCATTTTTGATAGTAATTTCCGCCACAATGAATTCAGGCTTGTTGCAATAAAATTCTTCCGACGTCTTCAGGATGACAGCACCAATTGTGTTGCGAATGTAGAAGGCAACTCCACCTCCACCTCTACCTATTCTGTCATGCCGATATAATGTGAAGTCATGTAGATTTATCATGCAATCTGGAATAGAAGGCTTAAGCCAAGTTTCTGAGAGACAGATTACATGATAGTTTGAGTTACAGAAAAAATGTTTGAATTCATCGAAATGAGCCAGCAATGATTGGCAATTAACATGGCAAATCTGCAGATCTCTCAAACGTGTAGTTCCACTATCCATAATTGATATTTGCGATACGAGCCGTTATCTTTTTATTCAAAATGGGACATTTTTTTGCATCCGTTGCCTCATGTGCCAAATCATTCATATTGTTAAGTCGTAGGCAGTTACCACATCTGGGGGCCAGCTCTCGCTTAGTACAATTCTTCATTTCGTGCGCTTCTCCACAGTGTCCACATAATGGAGCAGACTTGCATGTTTTAGCCAGATGTCCAAAAGCAAGACATTTGTAACATTGCAGCACTCGAACATGATCTGCAAACTTACAGGCGTTAAAGCGCAAATAGATCCGATTGCGAGCCATAAATAAATTTCGCACTTCTGGAGAAACCTCCAGCACGCAGCTAGTCGCGCGCTTGTTGTCTTTGGCAGGATATATATAGACAACCTTCAATACATCCGCAGTTTTATTCAGTCCCTGTAAATTTTGCGCAGATATCTCCTTAGCAATCTCTTCTGAGGACATATCAGTCGGAATGCCATATACGATTAATCTTGGGTTCGTCTTAGTGTTCTCGACAATCTTTAATCCAGCTTCTGCCAATCCTTGATGTCTCTTCAATCTTTCTAGATCAGGAGAAATCGCATTTATTCTGATGCAGTTCTTGCGCACAAATGAGACGTTGTTGATCCTTAGCTCGCAGTCGGAAGGCTTGAAGACACGACATAGTGCGTCCTTCGTTGCTTGCGATGTTGGAAAGTCATTTGCTTTGTTCTCTTGCGGCACAACCAAAAAAGAAGTGGAAGCCCGAACTTCAACAGTCGGACCACGCGAAACATGTACCTTGGGTTTAGGCTTAGAGCCAACTGCCGATGCATACGAGACAGACCCACCAGCGACAGACGCGCCTGCTCCCTCCGCTGCAATCTGCACCCGCGATGCATCCTGCTGTCTATCCTCTCTGAGCGCATCCATGACAACTCTCCTAACTTCCCTAATCACGGATTTTTCAGAAGATTTTTCCTCTAATAAATGGGCCAAGACAGATGATACGTCTAAGAAAGCCTCCTTACACACTCTAAATGCAGACTCTATCTGCGCCTTTCTCTCAATAGTGTCTTTACTCGATAGCATAAGTCTGGTGAAAGTTTCCTCATGCTTACTAATTGAGGCCCTAAGTGCATTAATTTTAGAGACTGACATAATAATGCCAGGTGGCGATTTGTCAATCATATTTGACCTACTAGAAGTTCTAGTCATTTTGCTACCATCCCGACATAAGCCAGAAGAATCTTCACCATCCTCGTCGCCCATGGTCAATATGGTAGAAAGCTGTTTTACCCGTCGAGGCTCCCAATTCCTTCCACAATCAAATCCAACGGTCCACAGAATCCTCCAATCACGCGCTCACAACCACACACACGTACACGGCTGATAATGTCTGAGTTTGCGATGACGAAAATGTAGCCGTCAAGTAGAAGAAGGAAAAATGCAGTTACCAGGTAGCACACAAACAGAAAGCCAATGAAGATATGCCAGAAAGTGAGCAAGGCACAACTATAACTAGAAAGAAAAGGCCCCGAAGGGCAGAAAACAGCAGAAATCGGTTCTAAAATGCAGAGCGACACAATACACGTCTGTATTCTACTCACCGTCCAAAGAGAGAGAGAGAGAGAGAGAGAGAGAGAGAGAGAGAGAGAGAGAGAGAGAGA